AGGAGGTGGAGCTTGCAGTGAGCTGAGATCCGGCCACTGCACTCCAGCCTGGGCGACAGAGCGAGACTCCGTCTCAAAAAAAAAAAAATAAATAAAATAAAATAAAATCAGCAGATTACATATCAGAGGGTTATGAGGAAACTAGAGACTGAGTTATATTATTCCTATGAATCCTCAGCTATAGGTGTAGTCCCGAAGTAATAGTCTCGGCATGCATGTTACATTTGTGTAATTTCATCAAAGATATATCTTTTGATGCCTATTGAGCTCTGAAACCTGGATAAAGCTTCTGTCATACATAGTATATTCACAGGATTTCTCTGTTATGAACTCTGATGTCTGTTAATGCTTAAACTCATCAGAAGTTTGCCACAGTCACTGCATTTGTAAGAATTGTCTCAAGAATGAATTCTCGATGTTGTGAAATAAGTAATTTGTGGCTGAAGAACTTGCCACACTCCTTTGTAAGGTTACTTTTTCTGTGTGTGTGTGTGTGTGTGTGTGTGTGTGTGTGTGTGTGTGATGGAGTTTCACTCTTGTTGCCCAAGCTGGAGTGCAATGGCATGATCTCGCTCACTGTAACCTCCACCTCCCAGGTTCAAGCAATTCTCCTACCTCATCCTCCCGAGTAGCAGGGATTACAGGCATGCACCACCATGCCCAGCTAATTTTTGTGTTTTTAGTAAAGACAGCATTTCACCATGTTGGCCAGCCTGGTCTTGAACTCGCGACCTCAGGTGATCTGCCCTCCTCGGCTTCTCAAACTGCTGGGATTACAGGCATAAGCCACCACACCTGGCGTCCTTTGTAAGGTTTCTATCCACTGTGAATTCTTCGATGTTTTGCAAGGTTTGAATTTTGAGTGAAGACTTTGCCACATTCATTACATTTGTAAGGTTTGTCTCCAGTATGGATTGCCATATGGGTAGTTAGGGTTGAGCGAACACTAAAGGCTTTCCCACACTCATTACACCTGTAAGGTTTTTCTCCAGTGTGAATTCTTCTATGATTTGCAAGATGTGAATTTTGAGTGAAGACCTTGCCACATTCATTACATTTGTAAGGTTTTTCTCCAGTGTGGATGACCTGATGGGTAGCTAGGTTTGAATGTACACTAAATGCTTTGCCACACTCATTACACTTGTAAGGTTTCTCACCAGTGTGAATTCTCTGATGAACTGCAAGGTATGAACTGTGCCTGAAGACCTTGCCGCAATCATTACATTTGTACGGTTTTTGTCCAGTATGTATTGTCTGATGGATAGTTAGGCTTGAATGAACACTAAAGGCTTTGCCACACTCATTACACTTGTAAGGTTTTTCTCCAGTATGAACTCTCCAGTGCCTTGCAAGTTGTGATGTTTGACTGAAGGCTTTACCACATTCACCACACTTGTAAGGTTTTGCTCCAGAATGAATTCCCCGATGACTTGCAAGGTGTGAATTTTGTGTGAAGACCTTACCACAGTCATTACATTTGTAAGGCTTTTCTCCAGTATGAATTGCCTGATGGGTAGTTAGGCTTGATCGCACACTAAAGGCTTTGCCGCACTCATCACACCTGTAAGGTTTCTCTCCAGTATGAATTCTTTGATGATTTGCTAAGTGTGAATACTGAGTGAAAACCTTGACGCATTCATTACATTTGAAAGGTTTTTCTCCGGTATGGATGATCTGATGCTTAGTTAAGTTTGAATGCATACTGAAGGCTTTTCCACACTTATTACACTTGTAAGGTTTCTCACCAGTATGAATTCGCCGATGCTTTGCAAGGTATGAATTGTGCCTGAAGACCTTGCCACACTCATTACATTTGTAAGGTTTTTCTCCAGTGTGGATTGTCTGATGGGTAGTTAGGCTTGAGCGAACACTAAAGGCTTTGCCACACTCATTACACTTGTAAGGTTTCTCCCCAGTATGAATTCTTCGATGACTTGCAAGGTGTGAATTTTGAGTGAAGCACTTGCCACATTCCTTACATTTGTAAGGTTTTTCTCCAGTATGGATAACCTGATGTGTAGTTAGTTTTGAATGTGCTCTAAAGGCTTTGCCACACTCATTACACTTGTAAGGTTTCTCTCCAGTATGAATTCTCCGATGACCTGCAAGGTTTGAAGGTTGACTGAAGACCTTTCCACATTCATGACATTTGTAAGGTTTTTCTCCAGTATGGATTACCTGATGGATAGTTAGGTTTGAACGAACAGTAAAGGCTTTGCCACACTCATTACACTGGTAAGGCTTCTCTCCAGTATGAATTCTCTTATGACTTGTTAGCCGTGAGTTTTGATTGAAGACCTTGCCACATTCATCACATTTATAATGTTTTCTCCGATTATTAAGAGACTTCTCAACTTGATTGTATTCATAAATTTTCCCTTCACCTTGAAATTGCTGCAGTTCAGGCAGATGTGACTGAAAACTTACTCCAAGCTGATTTTCAATAAGCTTGTTTCCTGCAGCCCTTCTATCATGTTGATCTCTTCTACCAGGGAGATTTTCTTTTTGCAACGTAAGTACTCTTTTATAATTTCCTTCATCATCTTTCCACTGCCACTCAAAGTCATATGTATTTTTCTGAACTTCCTCGAAGGACAGGGCTTCATCACAGCTTTCAAGTCGCTCCAGCTTTACCATGTGGAATGCTTCTCCCATACTGTTCTTCCCCTTTGGTGGCAGATCCTTGTTTACACATTTACAAGAGATATCTGTAAGATATAAAGAACCACAGGTTTCCAATTAATTATAGTACATAAATAATTATTTCCCATTGAAAAACCTAATGTTACACCAAAAGTAATAGTTATGTTGAACAGACTTATGATTCTTCAGAACCATAATTTTCCAGAACACTAAAGGAATAGGATTCCTTATCAAAGAAAAGGTGGTAACATGTAATTCAGATAGTAGGGGATCCTCGTTTTAAACAATCTGTGAACAAAACCCTCATACTGTACAAACCCATATTGGCCCTGCAAGGAGTACTTTCCAACCACGACCCAAGGCTACCAATTGGCAATATGTTTTATATGGCTGTCTTAGAATTCAAGAGAAAGAATTCTTATATTGTGCCTATTTAGAGCATATTTGTTATGCACAAGTAAATGCTAAAGCACAACGTGATATACTGTAATGGTAAATAACTCACAGCAAACATACGTAATGAATAATTAAAGAAGTAGTAATTTTGAATTGGAAAAAAATAATAGCACTGATAAAATGAGGAGGAATTCAATTTTAAAATGTCAGAAAAAACTTTTTGAATTGGAAAAAAAAAAAAAAGAAAGAAAGAAAAGAGGAGTTCTACTTCAGAACCAGCACAGGACATAAGAACTGGAATATAGTCTCGCTGTGTCACCCAGGCTGGAGTGCAGTGGCGCGATTTCGGCTCACTGCAACCTCCGCCTCCCAGGTTCAAACAATTCTCTGCCTCAGCCTCCTGAGTAGCTGGGATTACAGGTGCCTGCCACCACGCCCAGCTGATTTTTGTATTTTTAGTAGAGACAGCGTTTCACCATCTTGGCCAGGCTGGTCTTGAGCTCCTGACCTCGTGATCCACCCGCCTCGGCCTCCCAAAGTACTGAGATTACAGGCATGAGCCACTGCGCCCAGCCTGTTTATATTATTCTTGACTGCAAATGGTGTCACATGCAGTAAGTGTGTGTATAAGTTTTGATAAGTTTTAATTTTTTATCATAGATTTGTTTTTTTTGAAATGGAGTCTCGTTCTGATGCCCAGGCTAGAGTGCAGTGGTGCGATCTTGGCTCACTGCAACTTCTGCTTCCCAGGTTCAAGTGATTCTCCGGCCTCAGCCTCCCAACTAGCTGGGATTACAGGCATGTGCCACCACGCCCAGCTACTTTTTGTATGTTTAGTAGAGACAGGGTTTCATCACGTTGGCCAGCTGGTCTTGAAATCCTGACCTCAGGTGATCCACCCACCTTGGCCTCCCAAAGTGCTGGGATTACAGGCATGAGCCACCGCATCCAGCCAGATTTGTGTGTTTTTGTTTTGTTTGTTTTTGTTTTTGTTTTTTGCAACAAAAGAACAGCACAGATTTATTGAAATGAAAGTACACTCCACAGAGTGGGCGCGGGCTCTAGCAAGCAGCTCAAGAGCCAGATTTGTGTATTTTTTTATGGTGGTAAATAATAGAGTAGTACTTTATGCATTCATGACGTACCTAATTTTTTCTTAATTTTTATGATATTTTTAGGTTATGCAATTTGTCTGCTTTATCAAATTGTTGCAAATGTCTTTTAAAATTTCCAATATATTTACTGGAATAAAACCCGTGTATAAGATGACCCATGGAATTCAAACCTGTGCTGTTCAAGGGCCAACTGTATACCCAGAAGTGGGATTGCTGGATAACATAGTACTTTTATTTTTATTTTTTTGAGAAATTTCCACATAATTTTTCATACTGCCTAGACTAATTTACATTCAATCAATAGTGTATGAGAACTCCCTAGTCTCCATATCTTTGCTAACCCATACCTTTTGTCCTTCTGCCAGTAGCTATTCTAACAGCTATATGATATTTTATTCTGCTTTAAATTATCTCTGCAAGTAGTGATGTTGTTGGCTGTTTGTCTTCCTTCAAGAACTGTATATTGAGGATCACGCCTGTAATCTCAGCACTTTGTGAGGCCAAGTTGGGCAGATCACCTGAGACCAGGGATTTGAGACCAGCCTGGCCAACATGGTGTCCAAAAATGCAAAAATTAGCCAGGCGTGGTGGTGCGCACCTGTAGTCCCAGCTACTTGGGAGACTAAGGCAGGAGAATCGCTTGAACCTGGGAAGCGGAGATTGCAGTGCTCTGAGATCACACCACTGCACTCCAGCCTGGGTGACAGAGCGAGACTCTGTCTCAAAAAAAAAAAATGGGGAAAAAAATGTATATTGAGATCCTTTCGCCATTTTTTAATTGGTTTGTTTTCATGCTATTGAGTAGTTTCGATTTCTCATACATTTTGGACATTAAATTGGTGTCAAATATACAAATTGCAAATGCTTTCTCACAATCCGTAGGTTGTCTCCTCATTATGTTAATTGTTCCTTTGCGGTGATTTTCAGTAGATGCTACCCCATTTATCTGTTTGCTTTTGTTGCACAAGCTTCTGGCGTGAAGGCCAAAAAATCATTGCCTGGATCACGTCATGTAGGTTTTCCCGTACGATTGCTTCTAGTAGTTTTACATTATCAGGTCTGACGTTTAAGTATTTAATACATTTTGAATCAATTTTGGTATCTGGTGTGAGATTAACATCCATTTCATTCTCCTGTGTGTGGATATTGAGTTTGTCTAGCAACACTTATTGAAAAAACTGTCCTTTTTTCATTGTGTTCTTGGCACCTCTGTCAAAAGCCAACTGGCCGTATATTCATCATTTTTTTTTTTACTTTTTTTTTTTTTTTTTTTGATATGGAGTCTCACTCTGTCGCCCAGGCTGGAGTGCAGTGGTACAATCTCAGCTCACTGCAACCTCTGCCTCCTGGGTTCAAGTGATTCTTCTGCCTCAGCCTCCCAAGTAGCTGACCACCATGCCTGGCTAATTTTTGTATTTTTAGTAGAGACAGGGTTTCACCATATTGGACAGGCTGGTCACGAACTCCTGACCTCATGATCCACCCACCTCAGCCTCCCAATTACAGGGGTGAGCCACCGCATCTGGCTTTCTTTTTACTCTTTCTATTCTGTTCCACTGGTTGATGTGTCTATTTTTAAGGAATTACTATCCTGTTTTAATTACTATATCTTCGTAATATAGTTTGAAATAAGGTAGTGTGATGCCTCCAGGTTTGTTCTTTTTGTTCAATGAATCCCATGCTCAAGTGTAAAAAAGTAGGATACACACCCCATATAGGACTGGGATCAAAAAGAGAAAGTTTCTGTCCATTGTACTTAACAATTTGGCTAATCATCTCGGAATATCAACCCACTCCCCTTGTCACCCACATCCACAAACTGTCGCAAAGTGGAATAGGAGAAGTAGCTGAGACCTCAACAGGCAAAGAAAGCTTAAGACAGCTCCGTGAAGTTTCTGGGGCCCCAGGTGCAAAGGAGGAGCAGCCAACGTTTTCTATCTTCCAAGCTCATGAAATGGGATAAAATATGAATAGGGGCACTTGTCATAACTATGGAGGCCTCACGTCTGATCTCTGTGGACAGAAAAATAAGGATTTTTGATTGAATCAAGCACAGAAGGACAGACTAAGGAGGAAAGCAACCCTTTTGAAAGGAACCAAGAGTTCATAGAAACCAAGTAACAGACGGTTGTAGGTCATGATCAAGACATTGCATGTGTTGCTGTTTGGGCTGTAGCACCACTGCAGGTTGGAAGGAGAAACTTTTACACATCTAAAGAACAGAGTATTAAGTGGTAGGGAAAAAAATTCTTATCAGTAATCACAGGATATAAACTTTTATTTTCCCAAAAAATTCTCCCATTTGCAGGGTGTTTCTCAAACACTGTCTAATGAGACGCTTTCTCTCTGCCCATCTGAACTCTGACCTGTAATTACACCTCTGATCCACTCCCACTTGCTATTTTCTCTTGGCTGTCTACATTCCAGAGCTCCTTCCCTTGTTCCAACAAGGAGATAATACTCAGATCAAAAGGAGAGATTCCTGCTTACGAAAAGAAAGAAGGCCAGGCATGGTAGCTCACGCCTGTAATCCCAGTACTCTGTGAGGCTGAGATGTGCAGATCACCTGAGGTCAGGAGTTCGAGACCAGCCCGGCCAACATGGTGAAACCTTGTCTGTACTAAAAATACAAAAATTAGCTGGGCGTGGTGGCTAAAGCCTATAATCCCAGCTACTCAGGAGGCTGAGGCAGGAGAATCACTTGAACTCAGGAGGCGGAGGTTGCAGTTGCAGTGATCCGAGATCGTGCTATTGCACTCCAGCCTGGGTGAGAAGAGTGAAACTCCATTTCAAAAAAAAAAAAAAAGAGAGAGGAAAAAAAAAGAAAAAGAAATATAATGTGCTGTGGCTTTTCCAGAATTGCACCCTTAGGTTAACATGAGAAGAGAGGAAACTGCAGATGGATTTGGAAAAACATTTCAACAGTTGATCCACTGAATGCCTCCTGAGTGGTTAGGAAACACCACACTACACAGATATCTAGCTTTCGTCCATGAACCACTTAATCAAAAGCACAGAAGTAGAAAACAGAAAATCAAACATTTTAAAAGTCTGGTATGAGGTATTATGCATACAAAGCTCTAAAACTCTCCACAGAGTGGGCAGACCATCTCAAGAAATGGCAAGATTAAAGTCCAGATTTTGCATGATCAGGCTTTTCATTTCTGAGTCAACAGGTCATCAATCCTCATCGAGGAATGCAGGGGCTCTCAAGAGACTCACAAGGGAAAATGAAAACATACACAAGAACAGACCCTGACTTCTAAAAGAAAGTCATCCTTACCCAGTGAGACCAGGTTCCTGTAGTTCTCCAACATGACGTCCCTGTACAAAGTCTTCTGAGCAGGGTCCAGGTATGTCCACTCCTCCTGAGAGAATTCTATGGCCACATCCTTGAATGTCAACTGTCCCTAAAATCAAAAACACATTTCACCAAGTGACTATGAGGCAAATTTGAATCTTCACATAAAACGAGAAGAGGAGAGAGCTGTAAGAATAGGTTCAATTCAAGTAAGCAGACTGACACATCCAGGCTGTGATCATGGTACATACAGATTTGATCTTCATCCCTTTTCCTGAAAAGAGCTCACTTGAAATCTGTGAGGTGATAAGTATCTTTTTGTACGTCAGTGAGACTAACTGGTGGCTGAAGGCCGCTAGATAGCTTCACGGTATGGGCTGGACACTGGAAAGACCAAGACAAGATTACAGGGTTAGGCCAGGCGCCATGGCTCACGTCTGTAATCCCAGCACTTTGGGAGTCCGAAGCCAGTGGATTACTTGAGGTCAGGAGTTCGAGACAGGCCTGGCCAACACGGTGAAACCCTGTCTCTACTAAAAATACAAAAATTAGCCAGGCATGGTGGCACACACCTGTGATCCCAGCTACTCAGGAGGCTGAGGCAGGAGAATCACTTCAACCTGGGAGGCAGATGTTGCAGTGAGCTGAGATCACGCCACTACACTCCAGCCTGGATGACAGAATGAGACTCTGTCTCAAAATAAACAAATAAAAATAAAAATAAATAAATAAATAAAAGATTACAGGGTTGGGACTTCCAGGCTCAATCTCCAACACTGCAAAAGGGAAGAAGGGCTGAAGTTTCAGTTGAACATCTATGGCCAATAATGTAAACAGTCATGCCTATGTAATGAAGCTTCCATAAACATGCAAAAAATTAAGGTTCTGAGGAGCATTTGGGACAGATGATAACATGGAGGCTCCTTGAGTGGTGCATCCATAGAGGGCATGGAAGCTCAGAGCTCCTCCCTATGTCACTCAATAGATCGCTTCCATCTGCATTCTTTGTTATATCCTGAGCAATAAATGAATCAATATGAATCAAGTGTTTCCCTGAGTTCTGTGAGCCACTGTAACAAGTTAATTGATCCCAACGAAGAGGTCATGAGAATTTACAACTTAAACCGGTTAGCGAGGAACCCAAGCCACAACCTGTGTTTGCGAATGGCATTTAGGTGGCACCCTTGTGGGACTGAGCCCTATACCTGTGGGATGTGATGCTATATCCAGACAGCGTCAGAATTGAACTGAATGGGAGGACACCCAGGTCATATCCACTGCAGAATTGATTGATTGATGTGATGGAAAACCCAACACATCTGGGAGAACGGAAGCACTCTGTGTTGCAAGTAGTAGAAGAAACTGTATCCGGCTGGACATGGTGACTCACGCCTGTAATCCCAGCACTTTGAGAGGCCGAGGTGGGTGGATCACCTGAGGTCAGGAGTTCGAGACCAGCCTGGACGATGTGGCGAAACCTCGTGTCTACTAAAAATACAAAAATAGCCAGGCATGGTGGTGGGCACC